CCTCCCTGCTGGAGCACAGCCATCTCCTCCACAGCACTGGGCCCTCCGCAGACACAGCCCCTCTGTGGTGGCGGGGGCGGGGGGCTCGCGGAGCAGAGGTGGGCAGGAGTCACGGCTGAGGGCTGAGTGGCGCCCCCCCCCCCCCCCGCCAGCATCCGGGCCTGGGCTCACGCACGGCGCTGCCGAGGGAGCTGGGGAAACCTGACCCCAGAGACCCTGTTTGGGCTTGATCTTGGGTGGCCAGGCACCGTGTCCCATTGTGGCAGGAGCCGTCACAGGCCCCTGGGATCAGGAGGGAGAGGCTGGATGCCAGGACCCAGAAGAAGGGTAGACTGTGGCTGGGGGAGCGGCCGCAGCCAGGCCAGGGCTGCACCGTGGGAGTGGAGGCGAGACTGACGGGTAAGGTGGGGAGGGGAGATCAACAGCCTTGGTGACTGCCTGGGTGCGAGAGGGGTCGGTGGGGGGGCGCTTTGCAGGTGAGACGGTTCTCGGGCCTGGGTGGGGCAGAGCAGAGCTGGAGCGAGTCTCCCCCTTGGTCCTGCTTGGCGCCCTCGTCCCCCTCCCCCCTCCCCTCCCGCCTTCCGGTGTCCCTCAGCCATGGCCGAATGGTGCATGCTCCCGGGGCGCCAGGCCCTGGGCCTCAGGCTTCCCGCCACCTGCGTTTTTGCAGCCCACCCTGGGGTGATCTGTCTCTGAGGGCGCCTCCCGGCTCCACCAGCCAAGGGCCCCCTGAGTCAGGAACTAGCCACGGTCCAGCTGCCCCTCCCTTCCCAGTGCTCTTGCTTGCCACCCCCGCCACTCAGCATCAGTCCTGGGAGCACTGAGATGCATTTGTGGCTTAAAGGGGGGAGCGTGTTCACCCAGGGAAGCCACAGGCAGGGTCCTCCTGGAGGGCGACCTGGCCCATCTAGGCAGTCTGTGCGAAGCCCCATGTAGGACCCTTACAGAGCTGGGGACTTTGGGGCTCCTTTCTCCATGCTGCCTCCTTCAGTTCTTTTGTTGCCAATCAAAAGGGTCTCCCAAGAGGAGCCTCCTAGGGTCTGACCCAGAACCCATGGGGCCTCGTCTCTGGTTTGTAGCTAAGCCCCTGGGCCGGGGAGCTCCCTGCCCTCTGGGAACATTCTGGGAGCTGTGGCCATGCAGAAAGACAAGGGCTGTGAACTGCCAGCAGGACTCAGAGCAGAGCGCTGTCCTCAGGCCACCCAGGCCTGCTCGGAGATCAGGGATCACGGATCAGAAGCAGGCTTGTTCAGGGCCCTCACAGCGCGCGGCGGGTGAGCTGTAGAGAGCCTTGACTGAGCCCACTCTGCTGTCTGCAGGGGGAATCAGGAGGGTGCTGTGCTCCAGCAGACAGGCCTTGTGTGGTAGTGAGCTCCCTGTCAGTTCTGTGTACAAGCACACGTGTGCGTTGCAGTTTCTCCTGCTGATTCCTGAGCACCCGCCCCACCTGACCCCTCTGTCACATGTGGGGACGTAAAGGAGACTCAGCTCTGTCCGAGGCCCAGAGCAGAAGCAGGCAACTGGGCCCGAGGCCCGGGGCAGAGGAAGGGAGTTGAGAACAAATGTGCATCTGGTCTGAGAGCCAGGGCTGTGCAGCCTGCTGGGCATTAGGGCAACTCCAGAGAAGGAGGGGTGTTTGCCCTGGCTTTGGAGCCGTGAGCGCGTCGGGGGTCAAGGGAGGCGTGTCAAGTAGAAGATACTTGGACTTTCCTCTCGCCGCCCCGTGGCCTCGTTCAGAGGTGCCGAGTCACAGAAGAGCAGGGTGAGGTCTTTGGACCCAGACTGCTGGGCTTCGTCTTCCCCTTCGGCCTGTTTTACAGCCCAGGGCAAGCCTCTTTCTCTCTGTCGACCTCAGTTTTCCCACCTGAGAAGCGGAATGTTAAGAACAGTGCCCCTGAGCGGAGCTACCGTGCAGAGGTACCGAGGCCCGGCACCCGAGCACCCAGCCTGGGCCTGGCCAGCAGTGAGGTGCGACAGTTCCGAGTGCTGGTACTTAGGGTGGGGGCTGCCAGCCCCGCCCAGCCAGCCTCGTTGCTCACCTCGGGGGGCGTGGCTGTGAGGTGGGACTCCCACGCCGCCGAGCACATCCCTGCCTGGGCAGTCATCTGCATGGGAGAGAAGGAAGAGGGCTGCGCGGGGCTTCCCGAGGACACCGTCTGCAGTTCCTCCTGGGGACGAAGCCCAGGCAGAACTTGGGTCGCCCGACTCCCGGGTGCCTGCTCCTCCTAGCCATGGGGCACCTGTCACCACAGACTGTGCCGAGTCCTGGGGGCCCAAGGGACAGAGTGCGCCAGGTGTGCCCCTCAGGAGGGCTGAGGGGCTGAGCATTTTCCACTGTCCTGTGCGGGGCCTGGGCAGGGCCTCCAGGTGAGCTCAGCCTGTCCTAGGCCTGTGGGCCGCCGTCCCACGGACCCAACCACCCCAGCGGGCCACTCAGCAGACCTCGTCATGGGTCCCCTTTGGGGGCTGGGGGCTGGAGACTCGGGGGCATGAGGCGGGCCTCAGGCCCTTAACCCAGCCTGCAGAGGAATCGGCCAGGCGCGCGGGCCACCCGCAGGGAGCCCGTGGCCCTGACCGCTCCCCTTACAGGGGGAGGCCTGTGTTTGGACCACAGTGGGAAGAGAGTGCGGAGGGGCACCCCCCCTTCCCTCCTGCTAGTCTTGGGGCTCCATTATTTGGGAGTGGGTGGGAGACGTGTTTGCAGGCCTCACATTTGTTTCACACCGTTCACCAGTGCCGGCGAGTCACTGCTCCGCGCTCACGTGAACAGCCCTGCTCCCGAGCCTGGCCAGCGTGCTGCCCGCCGTGGAGGGCTGGCAGAGGAGTTGCACCGACTGTCCTTTGGTGCCTAGTTTCCAGGGAGGGACGAAGGGGGGCCAGGCCAGACGAGTGGCACCGGGGAAGCCATTTGCGGGGTGCGAAGTAGTGTTTCCACACCGGGAATCCAGCCTTTGAGGGCCTGTATCTGTTGTGTTTACTATGGAGCCTTTACTTGGGTTGGGGAACTGAGGTGCAGAACGAAGAACCCGGGAACCATGGAAAGAACGGCAAAGAGTGTGACCTGAAGAGGGTCCGGGCTGAAGACCCACGGTCTCATCTCAGTGTGACTTGTGTGCCAGCACACAGGCATCGTGCCTCTGCGGGGTCTTACTGGGCCTGGGGCAGGACTAGCCCGGGTGCTCTGGCCCACTTCCTGTGTTACCCATGGCAGGTGGCTCTGGCTTTGCGTTTGCGCCTGAGGCGCTGCATAGCAGGGGCCGGAGGCGTGTGCGCAGGGCCCAGGCAGCAACCCGGGCCTGCCTTCACGCTGCGCCGCTGTGCCACTCGCTGCGCTGTGGCACCTCATCCGCACAGTGAGCCGCAAGGTCACCGCGAGGGTCGGGCGAGCCGGTGCTTGTGAGGCCTCATCCCTGGCACACAACGAACCCTCGAGGACCACTAGCTTTGTGTCATCATTAACAGGGTGAACGGGACACGGTGCCTGTCTTAGAGCTGTTCAGGGCAGGGGACAGGTGCCCAGAGGCGAGCACCACGGGGTGTGCACAGGAGGTGCCCCCAGCACAGGCCACACTGGCCCTGGGCCTTTAGGGAGCTGCAGTAGCACACGGCTGAGTAGGGAAAGGTTTTCAGAGGGGCCCCTCCCTGTCCTTCCTGCTCCCACTCTCAGGACCGCGGCCCCCAGCACAAACCACCTCCACCGCATTGGCTGTAACTGGTGGCTTTCAGAGCTCAGAGCGGGGCCTCCCTCCTGGCTGCCACACGGCCGACATTTGAGCTTGCTCGAGCGTAGCGGCCTGCCTCGCAGTCAGCCTCAAAGGCAGCCACAGGGTCCCTTGGGTGGGGAGCTGGTCTGTCTCCCCAAAGCCTGAGGAGGACGCAGCTGACACAGCACAGAGTGGAGGCCTCCCCAGTGAGTGCAGGTCATGCAGCAGCCAGAGGCTTTCCCTCTCCACATTCTTTTTCATCCCAGGAGCAAAATGGGCCCGTGTTTAAAAGAACTGTGTAAAAGCTCAGCACCACAGCCAGTGCATGTATGTGCATGCGTATGGCCGTGAGTGCGTGTGTGTGCATGCGTGCATGTGTGTGTTGGGGGTTGGGGTGTTGGCTAGCAGCAGCCAGTAGCTCATGTTGCCGTTGTGGTTTCATATATTTGCCTATTAAAGTGACAATACAGACATGGCACATTAAGGTTTAAGAAGCCCTTCTTTCATTAAACAAACTGACAGTGTAGGGGGTTATGACTCTGGTAATTGAAACATGCTGTTCTGTTCAAGACCAGAACTCCATAAAGACTCTTTTCAGCCAAGAGCACCTTTGTGCCAGCAGCCTCTGGTCAGCAGTGAGTGTCGCCCTGAGGCCTGTCTCTCCCGAGGAGCGGGAAAGACCGCCTGGCAGCCTTCCGCGCCGTCTCGGCAGCCCGGGCCCAGGCCCTGCCAAACCTCCCGTTCTCTGGGCTTTTGAAATCAGTTTGCAAGGCCAACAGCCTGGGCGGCAGGGGTTAGCAGACCGCCGCGTCCTCCAGCCTCGTCCCGGCTGCAAGGCCTCGTGTGCTGGTTGTAAACCTGCGCCGTGACTGAAGAGGGGGGACGGTGGCATTTGGCCGGCCAGGCTCTGTGCGTGGGGGGGTAGACGACGTAGGCTGGACAGTCTCCCTGGGGAGGGGACAGCAGTGTTCGTGAGAGCCAGGTTTGGGAGTCAGGCCAGGTTCGAGTCCTGCCTCTGTGGAGCCGTGGACAGGTGGCTTTGCCTCTCTGTCCCTCGGTGTGCTTGCCTGTTGGGGGGTCGGCCCCTGGGTCTGACTGACAGGGCGCTGGGAGGGCCAGAGGAGTTAACACAGGGACGGCCGCCCCCACACGGCAGCCAGCCCGCAGGCACGGTGGCCAGGGCCCCCGGCCCCCTCTGCGGAGTGAGCCCGCGGGGTGCTGTCTTGGAGGGCGTCCGCGGAACCTCGCCTCGCGGCCAGCCCCAGGTTGTGACCCCACCCTCTCTCCCACCTGCAGACGTGGACGAGTGTCAGGACAACAACGGCGGCTGCCAGCAGATCTGCGTCAACGCCATGGGCAGCTACGAGTGCCAGTGCCACGGCGGCTTTTTCCTCAGCGACAACCAGCACACCTGCATCCACCGCTCCAACGGTGAGTGCGGCCTGTGCCGACCGGGCACGCCCCCACCCTGCAGAGAGGTGCTGCCTGGGCGCCCCCTGCGGGCGCTGCCCAGAGGGCCGGCCTGTGCCCGGCGCTGACTGCGTGGGGCTCCTCCCAGCCCCTTCCCTCTGCGGGCTCATAGAACTGTTGGTTGCTTCTGGTGCTTTTATTTAGAGACCAGGTGGGGCCACGTGTGGGCAGATGTGACCAGAGAAGCCGTGTTCCTTTCTGGGCTGAGGGCTGGCTGTGGCCAGGAAGAGTGGGCCCCCTTCTCCACGGTTCCTGTCCCAAGTGGGCTCGAGGCCTGACTGGGCGAGTGGCCGTTTCTCAGTCTCTACGCGTCTGGCAGCATCAAGGACTATCTGTTCTGTGTTAACCGGGTCACTAGCTGGAGGGATCGGGGTCGGGGAGGGCGGGGGCCGGGGCGGGGGTGGTGCTCTCCGCGATCTGGAGCCTGCTGCCCCCTGGAGGCCAGCCAGACTGCGCAGGGAGCCTGGGGACAGCCCAGGCCAGGACAGAGCCTGGCCTCCAGCGGATCCTCTCAGGTGAAGGTCCTTGGTGTCAGGACTGTGGGGTGGGACCAAGTGGCTAGAAGCCAGGACCTGTGTGCTCGAGAAGAGGGGCTCCCAGGCAGAGGAAGCAGCATTTGTAAAGGCAGGCGCCTGTCTGCCTGCACTAACAGCGAGGTCCAGAGTGTCCGAGCTGCAGCCAGGCAGGCTGAGGGCCGGCGCTCCTTGGGCCTGCCTGTTCTGTGTGGTCAAGGGCACAGAGGTGGAAGGCGGGGGGGCAGCCCCACGTGGGGCTGACCATGCGGGGCCTGGGAAGGGCGGGACGAGGCCCTGGCTGCAGACAGCCCTGTGGACCTTGAAGCCGACAGAGGCTGTGAGGTAACAGCTGGGGGCTCTGGGCATGGTTTTTATTTGAAAGCAGATTGTGAGGAAGAAAATACAGCCAGAAAGTACAAAACCCAGGGTAATTAATCAGAACTACTTTACTGGACTCCTTAGAGCTCTTAGTGTTTGTTTAGGCAGTTTCCTCAAAGACAGGACAGACTCGATAATCCCCAGCACTGCCGTGTCCCCGGAAGGACACAGGAGGCAAGCCCCGTGCTCCTTCGCCGGTGCGCCAGTCTCGTTGTGCAGACTTCCCCCGCAGCCCGCCGGCCGCTGAGCTTGCCCCTCATGAGACCTCCCAGCTGTGGGGCTCCAGGGTCAAGCTGCCCCAGATGAGGACCCTGGGCCCGAATCAGGTTTTATAAGAAACAGACTCATGGAGGCGGGAGTGAGTGTTGGTGGAGGGAGGAGAGGCTGGCTTTCATCAAGGAGAGGTTTATAGGGCAGCTGCTCTGAGCAGGCTGTAAAGCCCCCTCTTCAGTGAGGTGGTGTGTACGCTGTGCCTTTGAAGAGAAGCTTTCCCACGGGCAGGCCTCCAGGTGGAGTAAAGGCAGGAGCAGGAAGGGAAGCCGGCACGATGCGGTGGTGGCTGCGTCCTGTTTACAGCAGGTTCTGGTCTGACCTGTGGGCATCGTTGTCATGCCGGGGCTGTTGCAGAGCAGACCTCAGCATCGGCGTGGGGGAGGGGGACGCGGTGAGGGGACGCCATGAGGTGGGAGCAACCACAGTGGCACTTGCTCTGAGCTGGGCTCTCTCGGCAGCCTGGCAAGGTGGAGACACTGGGACTCAGGGACAGGTGAGGGGAAAGCACCCCGAACCACACCACAGAGAACTGGCGGAGTCCGGGTTGCAGCCCAGGTCCCGAGCTGTGATGTGACAAGATGGTGAGGAAAAGAGCAGCGAGGAGACACGGACAGGAATAGGCAGGCTCTGAACGCCTCTTTGCAGAAGCCATGCGTGAGCTGAAGCCACACGGACAGGCCGGGGCCGCCGTGGGGGGACGCACCAGGCAGGGCATGTGCCAAGGCCCCGAGGTGGGAAGTGGACCAGGCCGGTGTTGGGGCAGGACGAACAGTGGGAGGGGAGTGTGGCAGGGGCCAGGCCCCATGAGGCCACGGGACCAAGGCGCGACTGTGGGCTCCAGGCAGAGCGCAGCCCCGGGGAGCTGCTCAGGCAGCGGTGTGGAGGTAACGCTGGAGGGGAGAGGGGGCCTTCTCGGGGAACTTGGCCGCTGCGAGGGCTGGGCCTGGAGCCCGCATGCCTTGTCCTGCCCTAGGGCCTGGGGAACCGGGTCCGGGTTCTTACTTGGGGCCAAGGTTTAACCAGAATACAGGACTGAGGCCTCAACCCCAAACTGTGATAACCAGCATGCTGATAAAGGAAGTCTCTGCCTCATTAGAATTTGTGTGAATGTCCCAATTTTTAAATCTGGGCAATGAATCAATCTAAAAAGCAGCTGACTTCTTGGATACCTCAGGAAGGACAAGTGGCAGCATCTTCAGGGCTCCCAGAGGCGACGGAGAAGGTCTGAAGCGGACAGGTCGCGGGCATGGGATGCGGGCTGACCACTCATTGGGACCTGTGAGTGGAGATGGGGCCTGGCTGCCTGGGCGAGCTGCCTCTCTCCTGAGCCTCTGTCAGTCGTGACAGCTGCCCGCCATTGTGGGTCAAGCACAGTAATAACCGTTAGTGCTCAAAATCTGGGCGAGTCTGGGGTGCTGAGGCTTGTTTTGCACCCAAGTGGCTTCTCATTCCCACAGCCCCCAGGAGGGCGGAGTCCAGCCTTTGGGCCATTCCGATTCCTCGCCTCACCTGACTTTCTAATGCCTGTCAGCTCTTGGGAGCCTCCCCGGAGCAAGAGGAGAGGCACGCAGGCTGGTTTTGATTAGAGGTGGCCGGATGCATGAGTGAGGCCAGCCAGGGTCAGCCCAGGCTAGTAGCAGAGCAATAAGGCCATGGGTCTCAGCCCTCCAGCGGGGCCCCACTTCCCAATCGCCAGCATGAACCCTGGCCCAGAGTGCGCGGGTCTGGCCAGGCTGGGGTTGGGAATTTTAGGCCCTCGGCTGTTGTCCATCCCCACGGGCCACGTGGCCTCTGCAGTTACTCCTGCCTCTCCGGGGCTCCTTGTCTGTAAATTGGGACCAGTAATCCCTCCCAGGCAAGTGACGGATCCTTTCTGGGAAATGCTTTGAAGTGGTCAGGAGCAGCGGCTACTTCTTCAGAACTCAGGCTTGATTTGGGGACGTAGGCCGCCCCTCTTCCCAGCACTGGGGAGGAGGAGACCCAGAGTCCTCGGCCTCTGTGGCTCGATGCTGCCAGGTGCTGGCTCTGGCCCATCACGGCCCACACATGCCTCCCGCTCGGCCTCTGACACAGCAAGCAGTCACCGTCCCTCTTCAGCCCCGCAAGCTGGGGCGGCTGGCCGGGCCAGCCCAACCCCCATTGCCCTCGTTGTGGTAGGTGCCCAGCGCCCCTCCGTCCCCAAGGCGGTGGGCTGGCACCTTCAGGCTTCCTCTTCACGGGCCTGCTCTTTCTCTTTAACTCACATCCGGGAACTGTGGCCGGCACAGCTCGGTGCAGAGAGCTGGGTGCTCAGCGCAGGCCCCGAGCAGCAGTGCTGAGGGGCTCGGCCTGTTCAGGTCGGAGGGATCTTGGTCCTGCCTGGCAGCTGGAAGCCTGGGGACGGAGGAGAGGGATCCAAGAAGCCCCTGAGAGCAGGTGGCCTCTGAGGGAGCCCGATGGTGGAGCGTGGGCGGGCAGGCAGCGTGGCCTGGGATTTGGGGGGGACCGGATGGCAGCGAGCATTGTGGTGGGAGGGAGAGGGTAAGATGCTGGCCTGTCCGTCTGGAACCAGACCTTGGCTGAAAGTAACAGACTGAAGGCAGCTGACCCTGAACACCAGCTTAGAGTGGGGCTCTGAACCCCAAGAGGCAGGACCGGCGGGCAGAGGGGTAGTGACTGCCTGCGGAGCCCCTCGGCCTTTCTGGGCCTGCGCTCTGGGATGCTGTCTGGAGTAGGGCGAGCCCTCACCCCCCAGCGCCCTCCAGCGCCCTCTGATTGCCGGGTGATTCCGCAGCCGCTCCAGGGCTGTGGAGCCTGGGGGGCGGGGGGGGCGGGGAGAGGGGCGGGCAGCATTTGCCTTCTCTCTACACTGTGCGGCCTCACGGGAGGGAAAGGGGGACCCAGGTTTAAGCCCCTCCCCGGGGCCTGATGCTTTCCTTCCCACCCCAGCCTGGACCCTTGGGCCCCTAGGATCCTCCCTGCCTGCCTGCGCCCACTCAGCTGCCCTTCTCCACCTGGGCCTCCATCCCAGCCAGGCCGGCCTCCCAGCTCTGGCTGGGCTTCTGCGACCTCTCAAAACTCCCGCCTTGTCCTGGCTGCTCAGCAGAGTCCATGTCCAGGCTGCCTTTCCCGCCTGTCGCAGAGAGTGGGTGCCGGAGCCTGACACTGGCCCCGGAGCTGGGGGAGCAGGGAGGCAGGAGCCAGCCAGCGGGAGCTTGGGCGTGGCTGTGAGAGTGACAGGGCCCCTCCGTCCCGGGAGTGGGACAGTACCTGCCCTTGGGGACTTTGCCCCCACCCTGGGCTGGACCAGGACGTGAAGCAGCTTGCTGGGAGGTGGCACTAGCAGCCCTTGAGGTCCGGACTCCCGCGGGGACCGTGCGGATGGAGCGGCAAGTGGCTGCGGGGAGGTGTGGGGCAGGGCCGGCGGGGCCTTCTGCAGAGGCGTGCGCTCTGGAGAGGCTCGTCACCCATGTCACAGAAGTGTGGCAGGTCTCAGGGGAGGCTGGCTCTGGACAGGGCGGGGCCCGTTCTCTTCAGAGTAGGGAGCCCTGGAGGGAGCCTGGAGGCTCCAGGCAGGACCAGCCCGTCTCCATTTTCCACGAGGCCGAAAAGGGCAGGCTCTGCTCAGCAGTCTCGCTCAGTGTCCTGACACACAGGTGTCCAGAGATGGCTTGTGCAAACTACAGGTGTCCACTCCTTCTGGCCAGCTGGCTCAGGCCGGTGCCAGTCTGGGGCCTGTGCAAAGGGAGCCTACCAAGCACCCCTCTGCACCCCGCAGGGTTTTACCCTCCTGCTCACCTGGGTGTCGGAAGCCAC